ATTGGTTATGAAATTTATTTCTATTAAAAAAAAAAAAGGCCAAAAGCTGGAATTCCATTTCCCACCAAAAACTTGAGAAAATGAATTCCTTGGATTTGGGGAAAAGGGGGAGCGTGGGTGGCTATGTGAGAAAATGTTTTCCATATCAAATTTTGTATATCAAACATGAGAAAGGGGTGGAAAAATAATTTTTTTCCATTTTCCAAGGAAAAGGTTGGCTATCAAACGTAACCTAAGATGAATTAAATAATAGACTTCCAAGTAGCAGACATCCTATCAAAGCCAAGCAAGGTTTCCATCAAATCCATCTGCACTAGAACCACTTGCATATTCATTTGCCATAAGGTAAATCTCGTGTTTCTATCCAACAGTCGAATATCATATTTCATTGTCGCCATGCGGAACAATTAACCTCGCTCTGATACCACTTCTTATGAATTTTAGATTGCAAGATGATGACGATAATGAAATAAACACCAAGATTTACGTGGTAATCCAATATGGGAAAAACCATGGTCATAGGTGAAAATTCACTATAATCAATAGTAACTGTGTTTATAATATGAAAATTTCAATGCTCTCAATTGAAATTTAAACCCTCTAACTCTCAAGATGTTGAATAATTACATGTGAAGATATATATATATATTCCACATTAACTTGATTTTCATTAATTTGGACTCTTAAAAACCCAAACTCTTTAGACTTCTATTATTCTACCAAATCCAAATTACACAAAATTTGGATCACACCACAACAGTATCCATGAAAATAGAAATGCAAATTGATTTTGACTTATGAACACAAATCTGGTTCCAATGGAGAATGCCAACACCTATGAAATTTACATGTTATGGTCATGGTCAAATAATAGACGTCTCTGGATGTTTGATGACACGTGTCTGCAGCGGGTTGAAATTCAAAAAGAATGACTCTTCAAACTTGACAATGAGTGATCTTCATATGCTTTTTTCGAAGCCACATTAACACATTCAAGACACAATAAACACTGCTTGCGGAGGTAAAGAAATGAGTCCCATAATGCAGCAATGACAAAAAGTGTTGGCACGAAAATCTGTCCTCTAAAAGTAGATAGTGAACTCGGAGAAACACTCTTTTGTGGCAAAGATGATGGTGAGGCGAGGCGATAGTTTTCCAACGTGAATTCAATTACCCCTTTTTATTTATTTAATTATATAAATTTTATTCAATTACATAAAATATTTATGAAAAATAAATTTTATGTCATTACGTAAAATATTTAATTTAGTAAATATTGATCAATTAGGCAAAATATTTAATTATATAATTTTTATTCAATTACGTAAAATATTGAATTCTATAAATATTTATTTCATATTCAATTTATTCAATTATTAATAAAACTTAAAGGAAAAAAATAAGGAGTTGCTAATTTGTTGAAATATAATATTTAATAATTACAATTATTTATTTATTTATATTATTAATTATCAAATTAAAATTAATTATTCAATTATATAATTTTTATTCAATTACATAAAATATTTAATTCTATAAATATCTATTTCATATTCGATTTATTCAATTATTAATAAAATTTAAAGGAAAAATAAGAAGTTTCTAATTTGTTAAAATATAATATTTAATAATTACAATTACTTATTTAATTATACAATTTTTATTCCATTACGTAAAATATTTAATTCTATANAATTATATAAAAAAATTCGATTACTTAAAATATTAAATTCTATGAATATTTATTTCATATTCGATTTATTCAATTATTAATAAAAATTAAAGGGAAAAAAGAAGAAGTTGTAATATGTTAAAATATAATATTTAATAATTAAAATGATTTATTTATTGATATTAATAATTATCAAATTAAAATTAATTATTTAATTATATTTTTTTTATTCGATTATGTAAAATATTTAATTCTATAAATATCTATTTCAAATTCGATTTATTCAAGTACGTAAAATATTTAGTTATATAAATTTTAATGAAATGTGTAAAATATTTAATTATACTAATTTTAATCGGCCCAACTGACAGTCGGCCCAGGCCATATTACATGAGAACCGACTTTTAACATCCGGTTTCTAGACCGACTGTTAATAGCCGGTTCCTTTTGTTGAAACCGACTGTTAACAGCCAATTCGATTGGCGGGATCGGCTGTTTGCAGTCTGCTACTTCGTCGGAAATGGCGAGTAAAGCTCAAAAATGAGCCAAACACAGCCTAAAATACTAAAATTTTACCCCTAAGACTAACACTCAAACAGATCAACGCACATATGATTCAATAAACTCAAAAAAATGTGAAAATAATTAAAACACAGTAAATGAAAAAAAAGGGGCTTTTGAAAGGCAAAAAAAACTAATCTTCCTCTTTGTGGTTGTCAGCGCCGACATCGATTGTTTGTCGGTGTAGTGGCTGGATTCTTCTTTCAAAGTGGTCGGTTTTTGGGAATTGTTGGAGACGATTTTTACATTTTTATTCCGTGAAGATTTTTCTTCTCTTTCAATGAAGGGTATTTTTGTCTTTTATGTGTTTAAAATTAGGTTTTTGTGTTTTTTTTTAAATGCTACTTCTTAGTCAAAGACCAAACTTGACTTATGGCCTTTTTTACGGGCTATTCACATGTATTTCCTCTACTCCCGAGCTATTGACTTTGAATGATACAAAGTTTCATTATTTATATACCTTCATTAGCTAAGAATATTTTTAATTGTGGTGTAAAATTAAGTATAAATTATTGTCTTTAAAATTACTTTTGCATTTATTTACATTCTGATGGATCTAAATTCAGATTTTGCTCCAATCGAAATATCTGAATCCATTTTTTACTCTTGCGGATGTAAAAAATAATGTAAATTTACAAAAAAAAAAATTATATTTTTTTGCCGGAAAATGCAATTGCATTTCCTTTGCATTTTTCAATTGGAAAGGTTTTCGTTCACTTTGAAAATATGAATCACAATTTAAATCTATTTTACACTACAATCAGAGGTGCTCTAACAAGAATGATAAATTCTTTATGTGGATCAAAATGAAATATTTGATAAATTCCCAACATTTTTTAGCAATAAAGGCAGGGAAATGACCCCTAATCGGAATCTTCAAATAAATGTGTTGAAGTAGAAGTCTAACCAAGGAAATGGTGGACCTGATTATTATTAAATATAGGTACATTTTTATAGGCCATTTCTATTTTTTCTATTATACTATTTTACATATTAATATAATTATATAAATAATTCTATTAATCAAGCTAGGGATGCTGCAGGTGCACTTGACCCATTTGGGGCGGTTCCCCTCAGGAATTGAGGAATCCCTGTTACTTTGCCCAATCCCCCCGACCATTTCAACTTTTCAAGGTTATTATTATTATTATTATTATTTATACAGAGTGGCTAAAAATAAATAAAAATCAATCCGATCTCGGATCCACATATTTGACGTGTAATGTTTGTCACTATGTCCACTCCTTCGAAGTATGCACTGCCTATGCTAAAAGGTTAATGAAAAGAAGTAGGTACAAGACTAGCTGCAAATCAAGAAATAAATAACTATTATGGCTGCCGCGTCCAACGCGACCGCCATAAGTGATAGCATTCAATTATTTCTCTTCAAATTATTTG